AACTTTTCTGATCAAGCCAAAATGGGTTTCTCACGACATAATGTCTTCGTCCTCATAATTTTGCCCCACCCTGTACAATGCATAGGAAATTACTGTACAGCTTTGACGGTTGGAAGTAGACTTTTTTCATAAATGGTCACGTACGGCACCGCAACTTACTGCCACCCATTATGCGAAATTAGAGGTGGCGTTTATCGCAACGCGTTGCATGCTCTTTGAATCGAACCTAATACTACACGCCACATTTTTGCCCTAGCACCTGAGAAATTCACGACGGCCCCTTCCTGCTTCTCGATCACGTGAAACAAACGCGATTTCGTTAGCGTCTCAGCTCACCTCACCATCCGTGGATTTTGCATTACAATGAACAAAAACATGAATGTCACAAAATAATTTCAGCAATGTTCAATGCGTAAAGGTTATCTAGTTGTAAGCATAAAATAGTACGGTTTCGATCAAAATGACGAGTAGTGGTAATGAAAAGGCAACAATCACGTTTCGATTTGACCACCCATTTTTCCAGTCATAGCACTTTGTCTTTACTTCTAGCACCACTTTCATGCACACGTTTACAACTGCAATAAACAGAAAAAGAAATCATTCAAAAATTTCATATGGCTCAAAAAAAACCTTCCTTAAAAACAGAGCTCATGTAAGCTTTCGGTGAGTTTTACCGTATATGTTTACTTCACTGAAGTTCTTACTTTTCATTTTTTCATAGTTTTTATTTCATTGTTGAAATGAGAAATCCCCAAAATAAAACAACGATGTGAGTGACTGACCAATTATCAGCTGGCAGCCCACATGGGACCGCCATCGCCCACGAGCACACTTCCATGCTAGGCATGGGCTGCCGGCAGCGTGAATGTTTTAATGTACAACTAACTGTCTCAAAAGGCTACCAAAACCGTATGCTAACGCTTGTTTCCCGCAGCTGTTGGTTTTTAGGAGGGCGCCAAACGGCCATTCTACCGCATCGCATTTAACTATCGCATCGCCTTGGAACTTGCTTTTTTGCACTGCTTTGCCCTCTTGCACAGCAGCAGGCGGTCACAGCACGACGAGGTAGAGGTAGCACTGACCCTGGAACTTTGTGATAGTATCTATTCTATGGATCCCACCCATATTTCTAATTTTTTGATGGTACGGATTTGTCGACTTCGCACTGATTCTTGATGAAACTTATCTGCTACGGAGATTACAAGAGGTGTGTTTTGATACTGACATTACTTACTTCTCACGAGTATTGTCTCTCTTCTGCTTTTTCAGAAAATCAGAATACTTAAAAGGTTTGTCGACCATGGCAGAACTAGGCTTCCGCGCCTTCGATTTGACTAGGAGATCCTGTAGGACTTTACTTGCTTCTGAAAATTACTCGTACATATTGAGAGTATCATAACAAATATGACAAAACTTCCCAGTCACAGTGATACAGGAAGGCAAGCATGAGAGCACCTTGTTTAGTATTGCCTATATCAAACTCGTCGTCTTCGTATTGGGACCGAAGGATCATATTACACCACACAGACATGGCTTCCATTTGCCTCTCCGCGCGCTCGTCTCGAGACATGAAGTAGTCTTCGTCACAGGCAAGCACCATCTGAACGAATATCACGAATCTGGTTCCTTCATCACGTTAACATCACTGTTTTCTCCGACAAGTGCTAGGAATTCCGTTTTCTTGTATACACTATGCTCATTCCGTCCGTGCTCACTTCTATTTCGAGCGAACACTGATTTAGGTAGACCGACACACACGCCTTCCCGCCTACACTTTGACTCTCGCCACTTTCCAGGCTTACGTGGACAGGAGAGAGCGAGAGGGCATCTGGTATACGTCCCTCTTTGTGAATTATAATTAGGGGATGATGCTGATGGTTTTGTGATAAGATGGAATCAGGGTAAATTCATTGCTGTGTTGTAGACTAGAATGGATGTGAAATATGTTCGCAAACCCATTCGTAGGATGGTATTTCGGAGAGG